GGTGTCTCTGAATGCCTGGTTCTGGTCCACAGTGTTCCACACACGGGACACCTATCTAACCGAGGTAACGCTACAGAAGAGAACTAGACAGCAGAGCAGGCATTAAATAACTGGAAAATATTTGGTGCCCTTTGATTGCAAATGAAAAAAATCATCAGTATTCAAGTCATATCCCTTTGTGGATTCTTGCTGCCAAGCTTAATACAACCGGCTGTCCTGTCCTGCCTGCCCACCCATCTCCTTCTCTTGCAGAAAATGGATTACTTCTGCGCGTCGGCCGTCATCCTTTACTCCATCTACCTGTGCTGTGTGAGGTAATGAGCGACTCTTCTCTGATTGGCCGTGCGAGCTGTCCGTTCCTTGCTGTCCCTCCCCCTTGCGCTGTTGTGCTGTGTGCGTCCAGCCAGCAGCGATTTCAGGGAAAAGGGAGTTTTTGCAGTTTCAGGTTTTACCGGCTTGTGAAAGTTGTAGAGACGGGGGGGGGGGAGAGCCGCTAAGTGTCGAATTCATGAAATGGAACAATGTGGCCGTGCAGCAGGGATCTGTTTTGTCCCACTGGATGGTTCGTTTCAGTCATGGGCAAGTGGATGAATTTTTTCTGGGGGGGCTGAATTCAGCATGTTCGGCAGGAGGCTGACAGTCTAATGCTGAGGTCCTAGTCAGGTAAATGCTAGAAGACTGGACTCAGTGACCAGATTCGTTTCAGGGGAATGGATGAGCAATTCAACCCGCTAAACTAAGGTTTTCTCATCTAAACAACTTTGTTCTCTGGGCAAAGAGCACAGGAGAAATTAAGCATGTCTGGATTACTGGTGTTAAGCCACTCAACCCCAGCAGTGTAATCCACTCACTGTCTCCGCTGTGATCCAGGCAGGGCTGAAGGGATCTCTGGTGCGGGACCTGTCAGCAGGGGTTGCTGGGGCTGCGCGAACTGCAGCGTGGGAGTAACGCTCACAAGGTCGTGGGTTCAAATCAAACACTCCACACCCAGACATCTCCAGTTATATTCCCAGCTATCCACAGCTGTACAAGTGATTGCTGCTTTGGTTAAAAACCACATCAATTCTGCTTGACAAACATTGGAACATGCAGGAGTGCCATTGCAAGTTGTTATGAATGGTGTGACTTGGTAGTTTGCTGCGCCCTAGTGTTGGTGCCTATGTGCAGCTGTGGCAGGTTTCCTGTTAGCAGCATGGGGAATCTCGGGGGTTTGTGTCAGTGTCGGGGTGTGGAGCCTGTGGAACCGGGCACTAAAATGGGGACTGGGCAGCTACTTCTCAGTTAGGAACGGATCGAGACTTTTGAAAAACGGGTGATTTGCCTTCGTATCTAGTCGTTGGTCTTCATTGGCGGACTTCGACGTGGGGTGACGCTCACCGACGTCTCTTTTCCTCCTTCCCGCCTTCTCCGCCTGGCTCTGCCCCAGGACGCTGGGACTGCGCCGCCCCGGCCTGTCCAGTGTGGTGGGCGTGGTGCTGATCCTGGCCTTCACCTCGCACGTCTCCTATCTCACCTTCGTCCGCTTCGACTACGGCTACAACATGGCCGCCAACGCTACCATCGGTGAGGAAGAGGGAGGGAGGAGGCTTGGGGGGGGGGGATTGTGGCAGTGGACTCTGTGAGAGGAACAGTCTACAGCCATGAGTCTGCCTGCTTTGTAACTTTGTGCAGAAAGGTAGTTTTGGGAACAGTTGTTTTGATGAAAACATGACGTCAATGGCTTTGACGTACATTTGCATTCATTTAGAATAGTTTTATCCCATGCAATGCCAGTCTAGCACTCTCTGGGCTTTGCTCATTCAGTGCAGGCAGCACTCCTGGACAACGTAAATTTTATAAACAACATACAGACAAACATGTGTCTGCAAAAAAAACGCAACGACAACAAACGACAAGAACAATGCTGCACGGATCGCTACAGTAGACCCTGACTCACAGCAGTTAATCTAGAG